CCCCCCGCCCCATTTCACCTCCCCGCCTCCCCGCTACCAGAGCGCCAGCAGCCTGGACTTGGTGCTCACTATGCCAGTCCTCTACATGCTTTAAGTCACTCGGAAATACAGAAATTAAGGCCCAGAGATGTTGACAGCGTTTTTTAGGAACACATAACTGCTAGAAAACCGACTCAGGAGTCAAACCTATAGATCTGGTGCGCTTCGGGGTACTTGCTGTTAAAAGCAAAGGTCTGACTTTTAGCTTTTCCAGAACTACTCTCACTGTCTTACAGACTCATGAGCTCCCTGCCTAAGCTGAGAGACAGAGAGAGAGGTTCTGCCTTGCAGAGAGGTGTACTCAGCAGAAAGAGCCCTGGCAATCTGCCCGATCTCCTGAACATTACTTGGATTTGAGTGAAGGTTGAGATGGTTGTAAAGAACGTAGTTTCTGGATCTCTATAGATGTTGATAGCTTAAGTAAGACTAGATATCTACATTGGAATGTAGACATCAAGGTGATTTGATTTAAAGCACTTTCTGCTTTAAAAAAAAAAAAAGGTTAAGTTCCATACAGTGAAAAACTACTTATTTCTTTTGCTCCTTAAACTCCCATTTTACTATCCCCACACAATTTGGTGTTTTAACTATCTTTTCTATACCACTGGCATCTGATAGGATAGCTAGGAAATGCTGCAGTAACAGGAAATCCAGAATCAGAATCTTCACACAAAGTTTATTCCTCAAACATGTCCAAAGCAGGCAGGATCACATAACAAACTACAAAAATAAGAGAATTCTGCAACCAAAAATAATAATAATAATAAAAGTAATGGTTTTCATAATAACAACATTTTACATAGGGCTACTGCTAGAAAAAAAGAAACATTGGTATAAAATACAATAATGTAACACCTAGCAATTAACATTAATAGATTGTGCAAGATATAGAGATACATGAATAAAATTTTAAAGAAATACCATGTGGCACAAAAATCAAACAAACACATGGGAGAATATATTCTTGGATACATAAAGCTTGCATCATAAAGGTGTCAGTGCTCTATAATTTACAATTTTAACATAATTCCAAAAATATTTTAGAAAAGTGATTCTAATTTGCATTTGGGGAGAAAAATCAAATGCAAGAACATCTGCTGGGAAAACTGAAATTAAAGAGTAATAGGGAGGAGGCTGCTAGACCAAACAGTTAAGAAAACATATTTAATACCTCAGCCAATAAAGCAGCATCAGTGATGCCTGAATCAACAAATGAAATAGAAGAAAAAAAAATACAGAATTATACCCATATAATTTTGGGATATTGTTATCTGATAAAGGTAGTAACTTCTCAAGTCACTGAGGTTAAAGGTAGACTTTATTAAATGGTATAGGATACAGTTATAATCATCAGAAAAAATACATAATTGTATTTATACCTCATCATCATACCAGAATAAAATCCAAGTCATAAAGCAGGTAAATGAACAATGAGATCCTAAGAGGACAAGGAGATAATATGAGAAAAGTGTGTCTAACACACTTTAAAATCCAGATGCTTTAACTATGAAAAACTTCAGTTTGGCAAAAGGTACTATGAGCAAAGTCTACAGGCAAGTTATTAATAAGGAAGAAATAGTCTCAGCCCATATCACAGCCAAAGGCTAATTAGTCTTCTTAATATTCAAGGTAATTCCAGGGTCAGCAAAAAAAAAAAAAAGTTCTACAGCCCAGTAAAAGAAATGAGGAGAGTTTATAAAAAAAAAAATTTTTTTTAATGAGATGCAACCAAGCATTTATTTGGGGCTGAAGAATTGCAATTTAGTGACTGCAGATTCAAGTAGAAAAGCAAACAGTGTCCTAAGAAGGAACATGATACCAGTAATTTTATGGAGATGAAAAGAAGGATGAGGTTAGTGGTTAGGTAAAAGAGTCGCAAGATAAAACAGTTCTGTTAAGGGCTCACAAAGTGAAATTAGGTAAAACTTCATTTTTATTAGAATGTTGGAATGTTCTTAAAATCTTACTAGTTTAGCACCATCTGTGTAAGACAATTGCTCTGACATGGCTGCATTCACTCCATTTTAAAATGACTCCATTCTCAATGTTTCACCATAACATGAAAAATTAGTCAGTCTCATCCCATAAAATACAAGTGAAAACACTTTAAGATAGCTTTTTTAAAGCAATGATTGGCAAGCATCAGAAAAATTAACAATATGCTCTATTTGGTAAGATTTTGTGGGAGCTAATTTATTGCTGGATTAGAAAAAGTTTCATTTGTCACTGTATATCGGTGTAACAGTGTGATATGCATGGGAAGGAGAGGTCCCAGCATCCATGGTGGAAAGAAAGGTGGAGCTGAGCAGTGAGAAGCTAGAACTAGAAGAAGAAAATAAGACTTGGAGTTGTGCAGAGCAGAGACATGTAAAGAAGAAGCCACAGCTAGGCTTGAACTTGAACCAGGGACTTGGTACAGTCTTGAACTTGTACCAGGGACTTGGGGGACAGTCTTGAACTTGTACCAGGGACTTGGGGGACATGGGAAAAGACACTTGAAAGGGACAGAATGTGGGTGAGAAACCAGTGAATTTCATTTTTATTTTACTCCTTTCCTTCTAGACTTGCCTAGGCCCATATGCCCCTTTCCTGTGGTCTCCACCAGAAGGTGCCTTAGACTTATATCAAGCTTTTGGGCATCAGTGGCCTTGCTTTGAGCCAACCCTGATTGATTGAACATTTACCTACAAGGACATGGGGAAATTTCATGGGGAAACTTTTTTTTTAAGATTGATTTATTTATGCATACAGAACTGGGGTGCAGGCCAGAGGTGCAGGGGCAGTGAGAGGGTTCACTAGAGGCAGAGTAGAGTTGAACAGGCAGATGAATGAAGTACATTGCTGAGGGGAGCAGTGAGCGTGTCAGGAGAGGTCTGCCGCGCCATGTGGTCACCTCCCGGGTGGGGATTGAACTCATGCTGAAGTGGCTTTAGCTTTTTAGTACTGTGCTTCAACGCACTGCACCATCAGGGAAGGCTCATGGAGAAACTTTTAACTCTATTCTTTCTCTTGTCTCTGTTGTAATCTACTTCTATTGTACACTCATTGTACTAAAGTTCTTTTCCATTGAAGGTCTTATGCAGCAGAGTATGTTTTGTCTTGATGTGGCCGATGCAGAGCCCATTGAGAGCAGGGGATCCTGGAGTGCTCCACAATCTGTTGCTAACATCAATACAAATATACACAAGTTGTGAACTCCCTGGTGGCACAATGGATTAAAGCACAGCACTATGAAACTATCCTCAACCACTGCAGCACAAGTTCAATCCCAGGCCAGGGAGCTGATCCACATGGCACTGTAGACCTCTTCTGTCTCTCACTCTGCTCCTCTCAGCAGTGTATTTCAGTCAATATGCTTGTTCTGCTCCCTACTCTGTCTCAGGCAGATCCTCTCACTCCCTGCACCTCTGGCCTGTACCCCAGTTCTTGTGTGCATAAATAAATCAATCTTTAAAAAAAAAAAAAAGCAAATATACACAAAGCTTTGACCAACTTTGAGTTTGCCATAGAGATACTTGTAGCTGTGTATAATGAAACAGGTTCAACCTCATTCACTTCAGCGTTGTCGAGAATGGAAAATAGGGAACAATCCTAAGGCCCATCATAAGGAGACTAAGTGAATAAACTCTAGTTCATTCATGGAGTAATCCATTTCTAGTCATGGTTTTGTTTTATGCAATTTTATATAATTTTTTATTTAGCTTTGTACAATTTTAGTTATTAGCAGTCAACTGCAGTCCAAAAATATTGTACATTATGATATTTTGGGAGAGATCACATCACATGACTTAGCCGACCAAGAGAAAAAACTCTACAAGGTTTAAATAAAATAATACTTTTATTTAGAGGAGGATCTGTGATTTGA